AATCAAAGGGAACAATTTGGTAGTAACACTGACAGTGACTCCTCCACTGAATAGCAATAGGCTACGCCAATAGTGAGTATGGACTATACAATTGTTTAGTGAAATTTGATTGAATACAGCTTATCTGATATTAAATGTATGAATCAAAACTGATCAACTACATGTATGTATTATTATAGTAGATATATATTATTTATTACAATACTAATCATGTGGTTATTATTTTTATTATTATTATTACTAGTTATTAATCACTATTATTATTACTGTTATTTTTAATTATTATTAGCTGCATAGAGTAGGTTTTGTCCAGTTTCAACAACAAGTGAAGTATATTTAACATCCTAGCATTTGTGGCTTTTCTGCAAAAAGTTATGTACATGTACACAGAAATAAAAACATTATACATCATGCATAGTAAAGCACATCCGGCCTTGTCAAAACAAATCACTGGTCACTCACTCACACTGCAGTGCTGTGTATATATAAATGCATTACAACTGGCAGCTATGAGTAGTAGAGATAGAGTATGTCCCATTCTTATGTACATTACCAGGTGATTAAACATGTCATTCCTGGTACTGTTGGTTTAGTCTCATCAATAGCAGTATGTATTGTAGGCCTGATGTATGGAAGACCACGAGGCCATGAGTTGGTTCGGAAAGTATTCCCTTATGTAAGGAAGAAGAAAGACACACTTACTCAAGATGAAGCTACTCAACCTACTGCAGCTACTCAGGTGTTTGGTTATGATCTCTCAAATTGGGAAGTTGGTATTCTCTTTATGATTGTATTATTAATTGTTTTCCTTGTTACGTCCATTTTTTGTGCCTCTTTTTACTAAAGCTTCTTACAAGTATGACCCTTATGATAGCTTTGATTGCTTTTTTACTAGTAATGACACACTGGTTGAGACTAGACCAGAGGAAGCACTGAGACTAGAGGATAAGCTTTCAGTTTTATCTTAGTATTAATTGCTGAAGTAATGGGCCAAGCTTCTGGTACACTGGCATTTTTGTGGATACTTTCATCCATTATGACATGGACATCAATTACACTAAGAAAGAAATTGAAGAAAGCTAATAAAGAAAAGGACACTAAGAATCATTGCTGCTACTGTACATTGTTAATACTTTATTATCTCTGTTCCTAGTATTTCACTTAGTCTAGGTTTTAATGGTTGCTGGGTTGTTTGGTTTTACCCATTGATACTTTTGAGATTATGACATGTGGCTTTGTAATGGCACTTCAATTATTATTTCTGACATTATTAATTGCTACAATCAATGCATAACTACTATTCAACATCAAAGTCTTAGAGAAAAACTACCAGAATGCAAGAATGACAATTTAAAGGACTATATGACAATATAACATCAATGCTTTTTGATTATTTTTCTGTAAAAATGAAATTATAGCATCTAAGTTCATAAAGTGAAACCATTAGTTTCATTCAGTTATGCTCAGAGCTTCAAGCAATGGCAAAAATAAATACAAGTACATGTACATATGTACTACAAGTAAAAGTACATTACATGTACATGTACAAGTACATGTCCATTGTACAAGTATGCCCTGTAAATGAAAGGGACTAACTGGTTAGCAGCATCATCACTGTCCATTATTGTACTGTAAGCACCTCTTTTTAATAAATTCTCAATCTCAGACTTTGATAACTGTGGAGGCTACAAACACAATAAATTAATAATGACAATAATAAATAATTATCCACTCTTGATGATAATGATAATAATAATAATAATAATAATAATGATAATAATAATAATAATAATGATAATAATAATAATAATAATAATTAATAACAACAATAATAATAATAAGTGATCATGTGACTCACTCCACTGGCTTGCTGTTGAGTGTTCATTGATTGAAGCACTGCCTTATCAAGACCCAACTTAAGACTAGCCCTATAGGAGAGACAGAAAGAGAAGGTACACTTCATAAAATTATACATTCATGTGCATATTGATGTCTTTGTGCTGTGTATAAAATTTGAGCTGATTCCAACTTCAATTTTTCAAATTATGGTTGCTTATTTTAAAATGCCAATTTTGAAGAAAACTAAGGCCCCTGGTTTTTTCTAAAAATGGTTCCAAAATTATCCCAAATTTTTATTACATTTTCTGATACATATTAATGCACTTATGCTGTGTAGAAAGTTTGGCTTATTCTGACTTACATAATTTGAGTTAATGCATACATATGCATGTAACATGTGCGTGTACTACTAAGTACTAATACATGTAACTATTGCTATACATGTACATGTACGCATTGTACATTAACTGTACCTGTCAAACATTTCTCTCTTGTATGAGTTAGTAGTGATTAGTCTATAAACCTTTACCATCTTATTCTGACACACCTTGCCTGAGCCTACAAACACACAATTAATGAACTTTAAATTCAGTAAGTCTACAGTAAGAATCAATTAAAATCAAATCTACTCAATTTAGCATTAGATTTAACATTAATACTAATCATTTGTGATCAAAGAGGTGTTAAGGTACCTGTATATCATTCTGAGGGTTCCAATCAGAGTCATATATGATGACAGTGTTGGCTGCTGTCAAGTTAATACCCAAACCACGAGCACGAGTGCATAATAAAAATACAAACCTATCATATTCTGATAATAGAAACAGGGAAGGGAAAGAAAGAGAACAAGACAAAAATAACAGTAGATATAAAGGAAACACGGGTAATTACATGTACATGTATTCCCAAATTGATGCCCAAGCTTCTAGTTTCCTATTACTTGAAACGATCTCCTACAGTATACATAATAAAGGGTTTTTCTTTCTTTGATGCATGCATAGGCGGCGGCAGGATTGGAAGAGAGGTTGGGCGGAAAAATGGCATGCGAAGCGCGCCATGACTATGGCCACACCCACTTCTCCCTGTGTATTTTGGACGTATCCTCAACTCACGCATACAATATGATATACCATTAAAAAAACACCTAAAAGGCCCCCTATCTCATCTGTAAAGCTCTATCCAACCTGTAAAGTGCTAGTCCTGGTCCTACTAAAAGGTTTGTTGACAAAGAAAAGCAGAAAAGACTGTCTCTTGCTAGCCAGATAGTAATTTTTATGACTAAAATGATGTCATTAATTAAATTCTCATTTTCGGTCAAAATTTTTGGTCGGGCATTGCCCGTCCATGCCCAACCCTGCCGCTGCCTATGGATGCATGTACCCCCAGACTTGTGATTAAAATAGCTTTATATGACATTATTTGGTGTACAATTAAAATGGTGTACGGTTTCAATATGAATTTGTGTGTGTGTGTATGTACCTGGTTTAGAGAATCCATCAATAGCTGCTTGTCTTAATGTACCATGTACCTGACCATCAATACGCTCATACAGGTAACTAGAGAGAGAAAGAGAATAGAGGGAGATCAATTTTTAAAGTGGGAAATTAATTAGAAAAGTGGGACCTTGGATAAAGATATGATAGGGTGAGATGAAAGAAATTCAAGAATAAGGAATAGAACAGATATTATCAACATTCAAAATGCAAGTAGTGTTTTAACCCTACCCTTTCATGCATAGATAATCCTCAAGTATATAACCATTTGTGAAAATATCAGCATCTAAAAAATGTAATAAAATTGAAAGAATATTGAGAGCCAATATTTAAAAAAGGAAATGGTCTTTTTCTACTGCAAATATTAAAACCTCAAAATTAAAAACAATCAAATAATAAGCTGCTTTTGGTAGGAAAAGCTGTTCTACAACTTACATATGAAAGGAAAAGGCCAAAGCAGTCTTTCTATGATGCCATTATAAGGCTGAAAAGGTATTTAACGTTACCTATGATCGGTCAAGAAGTCCGCCATGTTGAAAAATAGGTGTGGTCATGCCCTAAAATAGTGTGGTTTCGCAAAATTTCACACGCCGCACAGTCTGTCAAAAATCCTGGCTACACTACTGATAGGTAACTAGTTATGTCACAAAAATGGGAATTATAATAATTCTTTGGTACTCAAAAAATTTAACTAAAAGTTTAAATCACCATATTTGGTACCAGTGTACTCTGAGTCTCAATCTTATTTTGTGTCCCTTTTCTCTCAGTTTGGTCAATAAGTACTAGTTTTAATAATTTTTGAGGATTTCCAGGTCCATTTTCCCAATAGACACATATCAGAGTCCCTCATTCAAGCCTCTGGTATAACTCTGCCCCTGAAAAAAATAAAATTAATACAAAGGAAAAAAGGAAATTAGAGAAAATACCTGTACTAGAGAATGAAGCTATAGAAGTGCTATTAATGAATGTGTGGTTTACAAGTACAATGTACATGCACACATACATGTAGAATTAATGAAAGGGTGAAACAAAAAGCAAAGATGAAGGAAAATGAAAGGGGAGAATAACAAAGAAGGAAAGTGAGAGAGAGAGAAAGGTATAACATATACCAGCAATAAGGAAAGGATGGTTGCAACACTTTCTTAGTTCCATCATAGTGTTCAATAGGTTTGGTACTGTGTTGCTCCCTTTAGTCAGAAAAGTGAAGTTTCTTTCCAATATTGCTCTGTAGTACTGCTGCTTCTGAATAGCAGTCAACTGAATCTAAATAAAGAATAACAATAAAATTATAAAATTTAAATAATAATCTACATTGTATGTAGCAGATTGCTTTGCTTTTAATAAATCAAAAGGAACAAGTTGGTATTGACATAAGGAATATAGAGTGTTTGCATGCTCTTGGGACTACAACAGCATTTTTATGATGAAAGTAAATTGGTGCTGTACTTTTTATATTATCACATTTAAGATAAACACATGATTGTAATTGTTGTGCTTGTCGTGTTGTTATTATCATAAACTTCATTCATGAAATGGATGACATTTGCCATAATTAACTAACTTGAATTGATAAGACAGCCAATGTTGTACGCTTGACCTTCTAAGAATTTAATTGCTGCAGCTATAAGAATGCATGCAAGAAAATCAATGATAAAAATTATATTTATCATAGATCTACATAGAGCTATAATCAACTTGAAGGCTTTAATGCATATTGTAAATCATGTGTTTATCTTAAATGTGATAATATAAAAAGTAACACTAATTTACTTTCATCATAAAAATGCTGTTGTCGTCCCAAGAGCATGCAAACACATTATAGTTCTTATTATTAGTACATGGTGTAAGTGTACGTCAACACCAAATTGTCCTTTAGTGGGAATAATTATGGCAACCAGTTTTGCTAAGCAGCTAGCTAGAAAGTGGCAACCATATCTTCATATTACTCCTTCAGCAGTCTTGGTTCTAGTATGGAACTATCTCATGTATTCTTATTATGTATTAGGAAGTCGTTTTACTGGTAGATTTGTAGATCAAGTTGCTCCTGCCACTTGGTATAAGTATGGGTTAGTCATTATGGTTTGTTTTGGTTATGTCTTTTTTCCTTTATTTGGTCTGTTAGCTGATGTATGGATTGGAAGATACAAAGCTATACTGATTGGTATAGTATTGTGTTTTATATCATGGATTATATTAGGAATTGCATTTATTGTTGAAAGATACTTTGCCTCTAAAGAAGTGTTATGGACTTTCTTCAGTTTTGCTTATATTACATTTTTTTGTGGCAATTCCAGTTTCGCTGCTAACATTATTCAGTATAACATTGATCAACTTGTTGGAGCT